CAACCCTCTGCAAGAATGGTGTCTATTTTCTAACAATCTTGTGTCTTATCTGCACTCATGTCCCTTTAACCCCTGTATCACAACTCAATTTTGAATTCTATGTGTCGTCTTGCTCATAAATGTTTTAGACTTGAGAGAGGGAGGCCCTCCCGAAAGCATTTCATTAAAAAAATTCTGTTAGTCCAATAAAAAAGGTATTACAAGATACAAATTGTATCTGTTTTTTACATATATATATATACACATAATATCTGGATATTTCTGAAGAACAGTTTACACTTTACACATTTTTCAAATATTTTATTTTTTTACCCACTTTTTGCATTGAACAACCAAAAGGTTTCTATATTGTGGAATTGATATGTAGAAAGTAGTATAATTTCAGTGTATTAAATTATCATATTCTTCTTAACTATAAGATTTATAATTAAAAATATACTCATATAAGGAGTTTTTATAAAAATGTGGCAAGTAGACATTTAGTAAATATCCCACCCCCACTTTAGGGTCTTAAAATTACATTGTCTTATTTTATTTATTTAAATTGCAGGTAGCAATTGAATATTCACAGGTAAAATGTATAAAGTTGGCAAACAGATTAACTGATGCATAATAACAATGTAATTGTATCTATAATAAACATTTCATTTATGTTTAAATAGGATTTTAATTAATACAAATTGAACTGGGAATAAAAGATTGGAGGATTTATTGTGAGAGTATACACATTGAAGTAGCCTGATTGGTCAAGCGAAATGCTTCAACAGTTCTGTCAAGAGTGATGTCAGCATGCCCTCACGTGACCCTGGGATCCAGCCGAAGCAGAGTGGTATATACAAATAAGACTGCAAGTGGTTCCCTGCAAATAGTAAGACAGGTTTCTAGCATCACAAGGTGGACACAAGAGGCAAAACAGTGGATCAAGATGAAATCAGAAATATTATATTTGTATTTTGGTACTAAGATGCTTTACTGGCTTAAAACCGAATAGTCCCACCATCATATTTTGTAAGCCTTTTTAACTTGTCGTTTATGCAGAGTATATAATAAAAGGATTTTATTTTTTTATTTATGTTTTTACTTTCCCATTTTCTTATATAAAATTGGACAACTTTGAGTCTTTGTAATATTTTATACAGAAGAAAATTAAGATAAGTTACTGTGTTTGCTATTTAAAATCACAACACAATGGGACTGGTTTTAAAGCCATAGTCCATAGTTTTGTATACACTTTTGGTTTGTATATTGTTTGACATATACATATGTTTTGTATTTGCTTATTACTTTCTTTGAGACTTCAGGTTTAGGGATACTTTATGGGCATTTGTAACTGAGACTCACACAAGGAAATAAAAGCTGGAGATGAGAACACATTATCCAGCAATTTAGGTGAACTTTAAAGTGAATCTGTCACTTTCAGGGTTTTGGCACTTCAGTTGCTTGAAGCAGTGAGAGTACATCACTGAGATCTATGGAGGATCCTGCAAAACCCTCCACAGACAAAGCATGAATCCAACATTTGTCACTTGTTGGCTGCTGGCATTTCACAAAAGTTGACAGTGGAGCTATGCCTTCTGTCAACTTTTGTCAACCTCAGGCTTATACATAAGAGAAAGTAGTCTCTACTTTGTCTTAGGGTATCTATGGATTTCTTTTGAATATCAGTGAAATTCTAAAGCAGTCTTGATCAGTATTTTATAAAGGATATAGCTCTATGAAATACTGAAAAATGACAGCTTTAACATGTACAGTCTTCTACCTGTACTTATAAAATTTCCAGGCATAATACCCAACCAATATATTTTTTGTTCTGTGTATCTGGCTTTTTCTGTATTATCACACCCATGTAAAAAAGTTATATATTTTTATTTTGCTCTACTCAACCATTATCATAGTCATATTGATGCACACTGTGGAACTACCGTCCATCCACACACATACATATGTTATTTCTTCTACACTTAGTCAAAGTTGTCTGTCTTACGTTGAGTCCTGAGAACAAAGTTTTGTACACAGAAGACTATAAGTTGTATGAGGGGAGATTCTGTCCAAGAGGCATATGATTTATAATAAAAAAAATGTTTTGACTGGACAGTTTACAGAATCAGGATGCTTGTATAATATTTATTTTAGTAAATAATATCAAATAGGTCAAAAATATATATGTCAAGTCACCTGTGACACCAAATCATGTTGGACACCATTCTATTTTGCATGGTACCAAAATGTTAGTTATTGTAGCAAACAACCAATATCCCATTATGCAAATAATTGTTTGCAACAAATAAAGAACCCATCCAAATTGTCTTGCTTGACCAATCTTCACTTCCTCTTTGCATCTCCATTCCATAGTTTTATTGCAGGCCTCTTTTGACCCTATCCTCTCTGTCTTCCACAGTCTTAGTTTTAAAAAGTTCCCTACTGCAAACCTGAACACTGCTCAGAGGCCCACTGCTCCCCTCATCAACCCACCCCAAGCTCCTTACTATATTTATATTATTAGACATGACAGCTGCAAACACTGCCAGTAATCAGCACACTCCTTTATTCCCTTAACCCCTAACACTCCCCCTACTTCTGCTCATTCTGCTTTCCTCAGAGTGCCTACTCATAGGAGCAATGCTCTATCTATTCCGCTTCTCCTTTTCTCTCATCTCCCTCACCATCAAAATATCTCCTTACACTCACTTCCCTCAACAACACAATTACATTAACATCAATCCCTCTCTGCTTCACTCCCCCCTTCTCTCATCTCAAGCCCTGCACTCATTTCTCTATTCTCTCTCTCCTACTCTAACTCAATCTCATCCTAGATCCCACTCATATAAAACCCATTCACAACTCCTGTCACTATCTATCCTCCTACTTCTAGCATCTGGTGATGTCTCACCCAACCCGGGGCCCTTCACATCGTCTGCTCAGACTAAGACAACCAGAAACCACACATACCCTGCAATTTATCCTCTTTCACCAACATTCAGTGTGCACTCTGGAACGCCCGTTCAATCTGTAGTAATACTAAATCAATAGCTATACACGACCTTGTCATCACTAACTCACTTACAATACTGGCACTAACTGAGACCTGGCTTTCCCCATCTGATACGGCTACTCCCGCTTCTTTATGTTTCGGTGGATTACAATTCTCCCACACTCCCAGACTTGATTGTAAAGTAGATGGTGTAGGTATCCTGCTCTTCCCTCAATGTACCTTTCAACCTATCCTCCCTGTCCCTGCCCTTTCCTTTACTTCCTTTGAAGTTAACACTGTCTGCCTTTTTAAGCCCACTGCTTTAAGAATTGCCATCATCATCAGCCCCCCTGGTCATCCCTGGTTATTTATTGAACACTTTTTTTCCTGGCTACTCCACTTTTTCTCCTCTAGCACTGCCCCCTCATACTTGGGGACTTTAATATCCCAATCAACAACCTCAACTGCCTCCCGTCTACTCTCTGTAACCTCTTACTTTGGCCTCACGCAGTAGTCTACTTCAGCAATCCATACAGCAGGAAACACTCCTGACCTCCTCTTCACCAATCTCCGCACAACCTCTAATCTCTCCACTGTTCCATTTCCTTTGTCTGACCACCATCTGCTAACATTTGACATCAGCATACCCCTACCCAAATCTCACCACCCTCAACTCTCCAAACGCGCAGAAACTTCATCTGCCTTGTTCTCCAGCATTTCTACACCAAACTCCAAACTCTCCTTTTACCCATCTCAAATCTACTCCCACCTCTAATGCTCGCCTCCAAGATTTCTCCAGGGCTGCACCTCTTCTGTTGAACTTTCTTCCCTTCTCCCTAAGATTTTCACCCAGTCTCCACTCATTAAAAAAATAATTGAAAACTCACTTCTTCAAGAAAGCATATCAATTAAACTGTTAGCAGATTTTTATCACCCACCCCCATGACTCCTCTCCTGCAACTGTCAAAATTACCTACTAAGCCCTCAGTGAATACTTTTCTAGCAACCTATTTCATTACCCCTACTTATACCCTTTGTGTCACTATACCCCACTCCCTCTAGAATGTAAGCTCATTAAGCAGGGCCCTCCACCTCTCTGTTCCTGTACGTCCAGTTGTCTGGTTACAACTACATGTCTGTTAGTCCATCCATGGTACAGCGCTACGGAATCTGATGGCGCTATATAAATAATAAAATAATAATAATAACCATATTGCATAGATTATATCCATCCTCTTCTAAACTTACTTTTGCAAAAGTATCCATATTCCTCATCAAATATAACTTCACCGTGGTATCATTTTTTAATTTGTGGCTGTAAAACGGAAACTAGAAAATGAAATAGTTTGAAAAGGTGCAACATCATCTTACATCTGTGTAAGACATTTCCAACATCTACTATCTAGTACTAAAATACAGAACATGACCCTGAGCACTGTCATAGGTAATCAACACTAAAATTCAGCTTAGCTTTGAATTGTGTATGATGAACTGATTGCCTCCTTACGTCAAAGTTCAGCATGTGAACAGAAGTTGCTTTACCAAATTAGATATATATATATATATATATATATATATATATATATATATATATATATATTATTTTTGTAAGCCAATTTTGTCATTTTCTTACTAATCTCCAAAATGGAAATGAATTCTCGTTAAGATCTTGTTTTAAGGCCTGACCGTCAAGATAGAGGGACGCAGAGTGATTCTGCTCATTGGCAATTTTTATTTAATAAGCTTTTTACCTATCTATTGATGCCCTGAATCAGTTTCCGCTAAAACCAGCGTGAGTGTGACACCCTGTGAGCATCTTTTCTAGAGACTGCCAGCTCTTATCTTGCTTGCAACCTGCACTACCCAGTGGGTGAATTTTGTGGCCAGAGGCATAGGCGAAGACGTGGCCGGTCTCCTGTGCTTGGTCCAACCGTGTCTATACAGTGTGAATCCTGTACTTACACTTGGGATCCATGGTGGTACACAGTGTTGCTGTTCACTCTATCAAGCTCCTGGTGTTCTGCAGAAGATGGCTGCTGCATTTGTTCCAGCAATGCAAGGATCTGCGCCACACCAAATCGACATATCTGACTTAACTTCTTCAACCCTGACTACCCTCGATGTGATCTTTCAACACCTCTGGGCACAACTGAAGACATGCATGAGGGTAAATGCACCATTTAATGGGGTAATAGTAGCAGGGCAGAGGGAAGCCAGGAAGTCCCCCTCAGGGGAAATCGTTCAACATTAAAACTACTACCACACCTGTCAGCTGCTCATCTGGGCTGAGGACCACTCGGGACATGACCCCAATGCACCAACCGCACATGCGGAAATTTGCTGGATTTATCCGGAGGCACCTTCTATGACGATGCTCCAGAGCCCAATGTAATCTCCTAACCGGAACGGACTTGGAGTCTGTGGACACATGGTGTTGGCACTTAGAAAGGCCCAGGGCAGAAGGGGCAACTCCATATGGCGCTGCTACCCTGCTCACCTACACAGACTTTGCAAGTTTCAACGCACCCTGCCAAGTCAGGGAATTGGCCGACTCTTCGCTCACCTCAATGATTGCCTGCTTCTTCGACTCTATGCCACTACATTTGCTGCAGTAGTCTACCTGGCTCATATGTTTTGTGGCTGTGGCCTCTGGTTCCAGCAGTATTAATGTGTATTTGCTATGTTCAGCATGTCTATTTTGTTTAATTTTATTTTTCTTTTAGAAATGCTCATGCTAAGGCTTTTGCCTTTTTTATTTAATAAAATAAATATTTTATTTTATTGTTTCTGTTACCTTATACACTCAAGTATATATTACTCCACTTATGTTATTTTATATTATTAACATGAGTAGACCTTAGTTGACTATAACTCAGATTATACTGTACAGCACACATTCATACTCACCTAGCATATGTATTGCATTATCTCTTAACCTGTCCTCCACATGTCTGGATTGGATTCCTAACAGTTTGGCTTGTACCCAGTGCACAGACATACATGACTGGTCTGATTCCATTTACCAAAAAATTTGTTGTTCTTTGCCATGCCAGTTTACTTTGCTTATTCTGTATAATGTTCTTTTTTTTTTTTTACTCATGTGTATTGGTATTAATTGATCGATTGTTGTGTGCTGACATCTCAAGATCTTGTTAAATAAAAAAAAAAGAAATCTTAAATTCTATTAATTATTAGAAATCTCACTTTCCACTTTTTTTTGCAGTTCTGGAGATTAAAATGTAATCATTAAACATGGGATATTTATTGCAAAATAAAAAAAAAGGTTTTTTTTTTATTTTTTTTATTTACATATATCAGCAAATTTATATTTTAAACCTAAAGTGAAATGTATTATCTGTAAAATTTCCTGTAGATTTCCAATTCGTTGTAGAGATCAGTAAGCCTAAAAAATTATTAGATTACAAGTATTTCAGAAAAAGGTGTTGTTAGAAAAAAACAGCAGCTATTCTAGACTAGCATGATTGCTGTTTAATAAACATTTATGAGATTTATCAGATTGAGTGCTCCCCTATGCTCTAAACAATATGGCTGCTAGGGATATGGTCCCTGAGAGAGTTTATACCTGAGTGCACTTTGCCATATTGATATGCTGCATTCCGACAGTTGCCTTTTTATGTACAAAATTTGTTTGGCATGCCCAAGCTGCTCACATCAATATATTATTAAACGAAAAAAACAAACAAGGAGGAAGTGAGATGAACTAAATATTTTCAATCTTTGAAAATCTATATTGACTGTTTTCTCATTTTTAATTTCTGGACATTTTTTCCCCTAAGACAAAACTATTTACCCCACTCTTGATTTTGTCCCATTTAATGTTAACCCCTGTACATTCTTTGAAACAACATAAATGAAGAAAAAAAGATTACTCAGAGGGTCTGAACAGTAAACACGAATGGATATTGTTCTTGACATCTTGTGAAGTTGTCTCTCTCCCTTGTATCTTGAGAGAACATGGGACCTTCTGGGCCTGCATGAGAAATATTGAATTTTTAATGAAGGTCCCTGAAATGCAGGGCAGCAAGATGTTGTCACCTCGGCATATTTTATCCCTGATCAAACATTAGTTGGCAGATGTTAAAAACTTGTAACTGTGTCTAATCTACACCGGCTGCTGGTTTTGGTAGCTCAAGTACAAGTTCTCACCCAGGTACTTTTGTAACATATTTCATTGTTACCCTTCTCTTTTGATCTTTTAATTATCATACGCTTTATATCATGGACATGTATATCATTTTTTAAATGGAAGTAAGAACTAAGCACATTGAATGTCACAGAATACCAAATATATGGGTGTTCCAGACCATGTTATAAATAAAAAATAAAGATGCCAGATATAAATTACATCATGTAAACATACAGTGCATCTGCAACAATAAATTCATAACACAATGTAATAATATCATTGATATAACTGCACTTTCTATTAAGCCACACAGTATCAGAATTAGACGAATCCTTAACTGTCAGTACACAAACATTTATCTATCTGCACTTGCAAACTTCTCTTGCCCTTAAATCAGCGCTGTATTCGAAGCAAGGCAAACAAGGCATTTGGCTTGGGCGGCACTTTCCAGGGGGCGACAAAAAAACTCTGCCCCTAAATACCCAGGCAAATACCTTGTTAGCCTCGGGGCAGGCAGCTAGCTGAGTTCCAGGCAGGCAGTGAAGAATCACTGATTTCTGTGATCTCCCTGCTTAGCTCCCCCATGCACCGCAGATATGATGTCACATTCCGGCTCCCGGCATCACTCTGCGGCGCGCATGGAACTCAGCTAGTTGCCTGCCTGCCTCACTCCCGGCCCAAACAGCCTGGCCAGCAGACCCACTGGGCCCCAGGCAAAAAAAAAATCCACCCAGCTCTCTCAAAGGTAGGGAGGCTGGTTGGATTTAAATTAAAATAAATAATCTGTGAGTGTTGGGGGGAAATGTTTATGTGTGTGTGTGTGTGTGTGTCTAGCTGGCTGTCAGTGTGTGTGTATGTCTGTCAGTCAGTCTGTCAGTGTGTCTATGTGTGTATATTTGTCAGTGTGTGTGTGTCTATTAGTGAATGTGTGTCTGAGTGACTGTGTGTGTCTGTCAGTGAATGTGTGTTTATGTCTAAGTGATTGTGTGTCTCTGTCTATGAGTGTGTCTGTGTGTATGTCTGTCAGTGTGTGTCTGTGAGGGTGCCTGTGTGTCTGAGGGAGCATGTGTGTCTGTCGGTGTGTGTCGTTGAGTGAGTGAGTGTATGTGTCTGTCTGTGAATACGTGTGTGTCTGATTGATTGTGTATGCTTGTCAGTGTGTGTGTCTGTGGGTGAGTAAGTGTGTGTGTCAGTGAGTGAGTGTGTGTGTGTCTTCGTCATTATGTGTGTCAGTGAGTGTGTGTGTGTGTGTGTGTCTGTCAGTGATTGTGTGTTTGTGAGTGAGTCAGTGATTGTGTGTGTCTGTCAGATTGTGTTAAATAAGTGTGTGTATGTCAGTGTATCTGAGAGTGTGTGTCTGTCAATCAAAGTGTGTGTTAGTCTTTAACAGGAAGAGGTGTGGCGTTGACTGGAAGGGATGGTGCAAATGTAAATTAGGGAGTGCCCAAGTTCTGCCATGCCTAGGGCAGCACAGATCCAAAATACACCACTGCCTTAAATGTAAATGTATTATTTTACACTAGTTGTTCAAAATGCTGTAGCCATTCTTGTGAAGGCTAAGTTGGATATGTTATTTCTTTTAAATTCTTAAGAAGATAGTTTGTATATCCTTATGAAACTTGTCAGATAAATTTGTATATAAGCTATATTTTGTCAACTTATGCAACTTTCACATCACAACAGAGTTTTTTTAAGGTTAAGATATATATTTACATATTTAAAAGAACTGACACTTGAGCATTTTACTGTTTTGTATTTGCTGTATCTGTTTGTGTGTGGAGCTCAAATCTTATTTCAGTCTGTTTAAGGAACATTGAAGTGGTCTGGGTGCAGTGTCCCTGTCCCCCTTAGTTCTGCAATGTAAAATATTGCAGTTTTTAAGAAACTGCAATGTTTATATTGCAGTACTAAGACAGTCTCTAGTGGCAGTCTACCATACAGCCACTAGAGGCGTTTTCGGAAGTTACCAGACTCCAAGAGGACATCCAGTGTCAGTGAAATCCATGAGAACATCCAGTGTCAGTGAGATCCCCATAAGAAAGCATTGATTGAATGTTTTCCTACAGAGAGGGCCTAATGCGCTCGCAGTACTAGCTTCACATGCACATTAGGTCCCCGAGGGATATATGCACTAGAATCAGGTAAGTGATTAAAGGGTTTTTTAACTCTTTATAGACAATGAGAGGGGGGAGGAGATACAAGGGTGGGGGAGACAAGAGAACTCCATAGTGTTAAAAATACAGATTTGTATATGTAACACTATAGCGACTTACCTGTACACTTTTTATTTATTTATATTTTTATTTTTCAGTATGCATAAATGAATAACAATCATTTCTCATATTTCTGAACCAGTCAGGATGGTTATAAATCATTTTGTCAGTCTTGAGAAAGGGTTTACAATAACATAAGTTTTGTAATACATAACAATGTTTACACAATATACCAACAGTGTTTATGATGTAACTTCACTTCGGTTTTCAATGGCTCGACCAAATAAGTATATGTATCGGGTATAGTACAGAAATATATCAAGTCTATGTTGTCTGAGTCGGAATTTGTGTGGGATTAACAATGACTAGAGAGATCATTAGGTTTGTCCTTGTTTTGGGGTTTTGTGTTGTAGTCTGTAGCTAATGCGTATGGTGTTAACTTTTCGGTCATACCGTGATGTGCTCTCGATTGTGTCCCTTTCCCTACTTCTGAGTGCTTCTGTCTATAAATAAGTTCCAGGGTTCCCAGGTTAGTTTATAATGTGGGTATCTATGGGTGAGTGAGAAGGTGAGTTCTTCCATAACCCTAGTATCTTCCACTTTTTGTATCCATTCCCTAACTGAGGGTGCGAGAGTCTGTTTCCACTTTATCAGTATTAGTAAGTTCGCTGCAGTCAGTAGATGGTGGATGAGGTGGAGTTGTGGCTTAGGGATGTCAGTGGGGGGTAGCAGGAATAGGTATGTTTCTGGAAGGAAGGGTAATGATATGTCTGTGATGGTTTTAATCAGGGCTGAGATTTTTTTCCAGAATGCATTTATTATAGGGCAAGACCACCAGATGTGTGCTGATGTAGCTGGGGTATGTTTGCATCTCCAGCAAGAGTTTTGGGT